ATTCTAAATGCGTTCATGGTTGAGGATTTGTTGGTAGTTGTGGATTGTTTATCGTGCCGACAAGGGAAATTTCATTTTCATTTTTCTTTTCATTAGAAAATTTGCTCTAATGAACTCCCTCATCACTTTTAACGGGGGGTCATACTGCACTGGAAGTATAAGCTCAAGGGATTTTGAAATATTCGTTTGGATCCAGGTGCATGGCTCACCCCTAAGAGTCTGATCAGTTCTGAATACTAAATACTTCTTATCTATTTACTGTTTTAGAGTCAATTCGCCCTCGTCCGTCATGTCGACATCACTACTTAGCGAACGTCTACAGCACAACAGTCTTGCCAATCCAAGGGAACGTCGACGTTTTCAACGTCGTCTGTCAGATGCCGTCGTCCAACGATGACGATGCCTTTGTGACCACTGAGGTCCAGTCCGGTCTAGCTCGGCTCCATCGAGTCACCGACAGCCGCAGTGTCAATTTCCAGTAAGTGGCCACTCGAATTCGATACCAACAGAAACACTTAACCGACAACTCGAAAATCCGTCAACGAGCAATCGTTTCTCATTATACTGAGGTTTTGTTTGCTTGGAGAAACGCAGGTGTTCTTCAGGCAAACGTTCTTTTCACCGAATGCAAACAAAACCTTTAATATTGGATAGACGTTTCTTTCAATCATTTTCCATGAGTGGGGGGACAGTTGCTGTCGGCCGGCAGTGAGTATGTAAACAAACAAAATCTTCAGGATAGTGGACCTGCCAATGTTGCGCGATCTCATTCGATCATCCGATTGTGAACAGATGATAACAGTTACATGGGAACGCCCTCCTCCAGATGACAGGTAATTCTTACCATTTTTCATGAGCTTTCAAAACATATGAGCCAACTATTTAGTAGAATCTGACTAATATCAAAATAGTTATGGAAAGCAGGAACCAGGAAGTCAGTACAATGAGGGACATACTTTTTGAGCTGGTGCTTGGAGTTCTTCTTTTTCCGGGATAAAGCGTTGTTGCTCCAATGTTTCCTTATAACCCTGTGAGAAGAACCGGTCGGCATAGCGCGCTGGTGGTACAAGGCCACTGAGGAGCTCTCTGCTGCTCTTCCGAGACTTTGGAGTAACAACAAAGGGTTACGCCAACACTAGCTCGATCCGGTGAACATATCCCGTATGGCTACAAGCCTGGCTGATCAAATATTCCATCTTTTTGAGTCTGCAAACTGGTATCGAATTCATTTGTGACAGTAACTCGCTGTCCTGCTCACAACTGTATCTCCATTCCTCATTCCTCTCGTCACAAGTGATTACGTAGACCAGTTAAGTAGCGTCTATGCTTCACCATGATTCTCAAGGAGGCGAAACAGGACACATCAGGACCAGGGCAGGATTCGAACTCATGGCTGAGCGGGGAAGCTGGGTCGAAAATTAGTGGGTGCATCACAAAGGGGGGTTTTTCGGAGCCAATATGGCCTACCGACTGGAAATATAGCAAAAAGTCTAGCAACCAGTGGTCTATTGGTGGAAATAATAGGAGCATTGAAGGGTGAGATGAGGCCTTACAATAGCTGGGGTGTCCTGTTTTGTCCGAAATTTAGTATTGTCATTTTATTTCGTGGTTACCCAAGTCATCACTCAGTCCCAGAAGTCCCAGACTAGAATTTTTCCATTTCTCCAGTTTTTTTTTTGTAATTTTAGTCGCCACTTCGTACACCACATTTTCTTTTCGTTTCGCGAGTTTTTTCAAAGGTTTCTGATGGCGTGAGTGATGGCCGCTTTTTCAAACTTAACGACATTTCTTTTCACTAACAGAGGAGCTATTTCTTAATGTCCTTCCTCTACATTCCAAAAATATCAACGTCAATATCAAAGGTATTAGAAAAGCAAGACATATATCCGCATAAAGGATAAAGGGTGAAGCCTTTTAGTCCTCGTCATCACTTTTTCAGAGTGCCTCCTACTTTCGACTTCCATCAGAAATCTCGGTAGAGATTTAAGCTTTATGTGGCCTATACAATGACTTTGGTAGCTTGTCCACCTGGAATTCATTGTTTTACATACGCGAGTGCCACCAATTAGCCGATTTCGTAGAAAACTGAAGCTCGTTGGCCTGGGCGAGTCTCGATCCGGGATACGAACTGCGGGTCGTATATGTATATGTGAAAGTGCTCCCTTGCCAACGATCCACTTTTACCCTTTATTCGGAAAGCACAGAAAGTGAATTTATCACTGTGTACAAAATAATAACAGAAGACAAATTCAAGAAAAAAAGTATATTGCGATAAAGTGGCCATGGCATGACAGGAGCCCTCAAACTCTGACGGAAGACGGAAAAACTGGTTTCCAGGCAAAAAACGGGTACGCTTGTTGAACAACTCAGTAGTGAAATGTTTAGTAGAGGTCGTGTCTGAGTAAACGGTACATCACTGAACAGTTTTTTCGTTATGGAAAATGGGGATCGACCCAATGATTTATTCCCGTCGACTCGACCTACTTTTTGGCAAGTCTGAAATTCAACCCGAGCCGTAATCGTTCTTGGAGCAGACATTGAAAGCACTGTTTTTGATGAATTCGAGAAACCTTTTTCAAGTCGAAAAGCCAAAGTATCGGTTGGGAATTGCGCATCAGTGGCGAGGGAAGAGAAAATGCGAGAAATAAGGTACCTCAGAAGGAGTGAAAATAGAAGTTGTACGAGTTACCATGACAAAAATGGCATGAAAGCGTTATTTGGACGAGATTTTAGTTGTTGCAATTGCGCAAAGAGCTTACTACATAAAGCCGAAGTCGTCTAGAGTTAGCTTTCGCTGTCGCTGTGGGCTGTGACAAGTTGTTCGGACTTCTTCCATGGGTTCCTCTGTGAATATTGCAGCCTCTACAGTGCCTTTGAAAATCGTCCGAACATACACACGGGACAATCTCTGAGCCTTTATAACGCCCTATCAAGGTCGTTTTCGTCGTATCTAGGTCCCGACAGCGCCACATCTGGTATACGAGGAGCCCCGGATTCATTCCAGGGTGATATCTCGAAAGCAATTTTTATCGTGAATTTTGCCTTCAGTTCTGGAAGGCAGGTAAGCGTTTATAGTAGGATGTACGGCAGGATCCCGTAACATCGAATTTTTTAGCAAAAATTCGATTAAAAAAAAACAGCACCACTCATGTAACAAGCCAATATTTAGTTGATCAATATGCAATAAAGTTGAAAGTTGAAAGTTGAAAGATCAGCTCTCTCTTGAATTTTGGTGCAGGCACTGGCACAAGGAATATCATCCCCCGTTGTGGGCAGTTCGAAACTCATCAGTAATAGATGACCTCATTAATTAATTGCTCGATGATTACGGCGTGAAGGGAACCATGCATGAGGCGGCTATCGGCAGGGTCGGGAAGACGCAGATCTCATATGACCTCTGACATAATTATAATTGGTTATTCGGTGGCTGGAGGGGATTTTCCCATTCTCGTTCGGGATCTGAAAGTTCTAGCCTCATACGAGTTGTCATGCAAGAAGTCCCTATGGAGGTTTAACTGTAATATTCGCTTAAATGCGCTCTGGAGTTTGTGTACTTGCCGATAATGGTCAAGTTGAAAGAGCAAACCGACTTGCCCAAGGGTTCTGTTCATGGTAATCCTCTGCTTGCCCCAGATAGTTGTCATTGCGGATTCCGTAGTGATCGAGTACCATATGTGTATGGTCAATAGCATACATAGAATGGGCCACGGGAGTTATGAACGAATTCCGTCCACCAGAATAGCAATATTTTTAAAATCACGTCGTTGGGCCCGAAACCTATGGATATTTTGCAGCTCCTTCTTTTTGACTCACTATTTCAGTAGAGTGATCGACGAATGACTCCTTTTTAAAACCCTTAGCCCTTCCATTTTAGTTTCTCAGGAAGATACAGCACATGGTTCTGCACAAAGATTACACAAGCAGCAACGTTGTCTTTAGATAGATTCACCTGTAAACGGATTACGGTTCTCTGACAATGCCTGATTACCTTTCGAGACCCTGTTTTCAAGAAGCGTGCTCCACTGCCGGTTCCTGCTTGAAAACGATTTCTATTTCACTAGAATGTAAGGTTTGTCCAGCCGAAGGGCGTTGCGATTCTGTTCGTGCCGTATTCAGACGGTATCGTGGAGCGACGAGTTCGTGTGTCAACAGTGTCTGAAGAGCCATGCACTTTCAATATGTTCGAATAACCACTTCGATCGATAGTTTTCATCCAAAATCTGACAAATCTGGCAACGCACTCGAGCTTTTACCTGCGATCGGGGCTATTTGCATACTTTCTGGTTGAAGATCTAATTGCACGGTTTTCGAGAGCCAGAAAAATGAGGCGAAAATAGCAGCTAAAAGGCTTGCATGCTTCTCTTTTGCATGCTTTGGAGTGAACGAAGACACGAACGTGAACACTGTAGTATACAGCCTTCGAATTATAACTTCCCCCGGATGAAGACGGCTGACTTCAAGAGAGGTCAAGGTTTTTAGGTCTTAGGTTAGGACACGTCTCGTATGGGACTGGATTCTGCTTTCCCAACTCGCTGACGCTCCATTGGGACATTACCGGAATACCAAAATTCTTACCTGCTACGAAACCAATTGAGAACATATGAGTCTCCACTGCTTTTTTCTTCACAACTGCTTCCTATCGATAATGTAAGGGGAGGAGATCGGTGAATCTCGATCTCCCTGAGCAGAAATCGAACCAGCAAGGAATCAAAAACCTCAAAATCTATGGCTCGAATATGAGCTCGGGTGCAGGCAGTAGGGTCTCGATATGTAGAGGGAAGAAGTACGGTGCTCAAGAAGCACCTTTGTTGGTCGAGTCTCATACAAAGCTAAACGTTTTGCCCCAGTCTCTCTTGTGAGTACCATCAGGTTTCAGTTGTTGCTCGAAGAGCTAAACCATTTAAGCTTTTATTATCGGTGAAATCACCTTCTGAACGCTGACTACGTTATAGTAAGTGGATGTGTGAGAGGGCTATACGATAACTGTAGGTATCAGCCAGATGGATACTACTGTGAATTCGGGGTAGGTGCGGAACTATGTGTAAACGACGAGCTGATAGAAGTGTAGAAGTGTAGTTACCGTAGGATTCCTGCAGTTAATAAAGGGATCCCTGATTTGTCGGCCTCTAAACTCCGCAGACTTCATAAAAAGCATGGAAATTGTTCTCGTGGAGAATACTGATGCTTCACTCAGAACGGTAGAGATGAAGGCATAACGGTGAAGACGTTGTCCGCTCCTCCTCTGTATGGCCTTTGAGTATCTCCACATTTTTTGAAAACAGCCAACAGCTTTCCGCCAAATCTGGGAGTGGGTCAAAGGGAGCCCTTAGAATTTTACTGTATGCGTACCTCGAAAAGCTCAAACTTCCTTTGAATTTTGCTCTTTTTGTTTCAGGAGTTACTTCACCCTGACATCACTTCTTAATGAAAGCCTGGACGTCAAATACGTAGAAGGTACATTATTTACCGCTTCTTTTTTGGAATCCCACTAGTCTACCGCAGTTGTTTCAGGAAACACAAGAGTGGAATATTCTATCCTCGCTCATATGGCTGGAGTGCGTCACATTCTGCCTCAGAACTGGAACAGTGACATCTTGGCCACAGTAGTCGCCTCTCCTCTATACTGTAAACAGAAGGTGCTGCTTGAACCGAACTGTCTATTCCGATCTCAGGTGGGTTGGGTCCCGTTTCCCAGTGAACTACGGACAATGTTATTTAGTTCCTCTCTTTAGATCCTCGTGGGTCTCAAACCGTCTACTTCATGGACTTGGGAATTCGCCTTTCGTACACATCGCTCCGACCAGAATCTCTTTTCTATCCATACCTCCAATTCTAGAACACTTCTAGTACACCTAGAACGAGGTGCGATTTCAATTTCAGTAAAGCATCGGACAGGTTTTATCGACTGCGTTACAGATTTCTTTTTGCGGACTGATTCCTCAGATGTTCCGTTCCCCGTGCACCAATTATCTGATGGACAATGGCACACGATTACCATCCACTCTGAACAGGGCGACGTCTTCTTCACAGTAGACGACTCTAAAAAGATTCGTTTGACAGAGCTCGATAACCCCGAATCGAGGTGAGTCGTGGGCTTCGATCTGGGATTTCTTATCAGAAGTATTGATCTAGCACTTAATATTGTTCAATGCGATTTGTGAGCACAGGGCCTATTCTGAAGATTAGATTAGATTTTTCACTGTTAGCAAGAGATCTTCAAAGAAGTTGACTGTTTGAAGGCTGTCTGCCGTAGAGGTCGAATTGGATGGTGAAATTTTGCTGATCGATCCATCGGACACTTCTGAAAACTGTGAACTCAATGGTCAGAGAAAACTTTATGGGTAAGCCCAGTTACAAGTTCTGTTTTGTTGCTTGGCTCATATATATAGGTGCTCCTTGACTGCAGCAAAAGCTTGTCACAACTGGACGTACGATAGCTCATAATTTGTACGTAGCTGTAGCTGAAGTATCATTTATGCTTTTGAATGGGTACAACAGAAAAAAAACTCAGAAAGCTCCATATATCCTGAAGACTCGTTGATAAGCATAAATCTCAATGTCTTCTGCGGAGCTGAAATAAGACCGAATCGAATGGTGGGCTTACGACTAGAACTTGTGATGGCTCGTATTCACGTAATTCCATTGGATACCAGCTCAACATTTACTTTCACCCTACTCGATTAAAAATGGTTCATGCGCGCCTCGCATTCGACTTCCATTCGGAATCGTAAAAGTGTTTTGAATGCTTCTTTGGCCTATACAACGACTTGCACTGCCCTGCTGATGACAAAGTCAGTCCCAGATACAGTCTAGTAGCACTAACCGACCTTGGAGGGAAGGAATGTGTGGTTGACCTGGGCGGATGATATTGCAGCACTAGATATCACAAATACTCCTCTCTTTCTTCACATTCTACTTCGTTTCCTCTGTACGCTTTATCTTTTTCTGTCTTTCGGGTTTGCTCGAACAAAAACCGTTCTCAGGGAATGAGGCCTCGGTCACCCATCACAGATGTGTGTCTTTTAATTCATGACACCTCCAACTTCTTAGTTTTCCGGCTTTTTGTAAAGCTTTTCCTTACGCAGAACCCTAACACAATCCCACTTCGATCGTGATCGACGCACGTAACGTGATCGCGGTTCACGATTGCATAGTATAAACACAGTCTTGGTCAGCCTTGCACTGCGATTGAGCGTTCAAACGAATTGTAGTTATACGGTCCTATACAACTGAGCTGTTTAGTCTTTGAAGATTCCCTCTTACCAGAAGATCTTTAAAATATAAGACAAGCTTTAAAGTCCTTTTTTTAAAAATAGTTGTTTTTCAGCCACTCCCAACCAAAGCCTCCATGTAATGGATGTGACTGCCAAATCCTCTCAGGGATTTTTCATGACTTCCCAGCTTTTACCTGCCCACACAAAGAGGATGAAGGTATAATTCATGGTCCACATTCTTAGACCTTCTCTTACAACTGATTCTTCAGCTTACCATCTGATACGAGACCCCGACCGTCTATCATTTTTCTACCATCCCTTTCCGTCAAGAGATAATCTTCGTCTTGGACTCAGCTTCAAGAGTGAATCGGTGAGTCGTGAGCATCAATGTCCCTTTTATTTTTTTAGAACTTTTCAATCACAGGACATTGGCCTTCTGCTGTTTGGATTCTGGCAAGAGGACGAGAGAAAAGGGCGCTTCCAAGTTCATTATCGGGGACGATATCTCATCGCCATCTANTTTCCGTCAAGAGATAATCTTCGTCTTGGACTCAGCTTTAAGAGTGAATCGGTGAGTCGTGACCATCAATGTTTCTTTTATTTTTTCAAAACCTTTCAATTGCAGGACATTGGCCTTCTGCTGTTTGGATTCTGGCAAGAGGACGAGAGAAAAGGGCGCTTCCAAGTTCATTATCGGGGACGATATCTCATCGCCATCTATTGCGTGAACAACGGGGAAGAGGTCTGCAATAGCTGTTCCGTGAAGAAAATGGAAGGTAGGCTAATTGATGGGGTTCTAAGAGCCGCCTTTTTACCTGTATAGCTTTCTTCAGGGTTTGGGAACGATCAGTGGACACGGGTAGCATTTTTCATGTACGACGGAGAGATGTCTCTTGTTGTCGACAAAGACGCTTGCATTCTTCGTGATCTCAACGGGCAAGATGGACTGAGCTTAGCCGGTGGGTAGAGCTGCTCACGTCGACCAAAAATTTTCTTAAAAATTTTTATTTCTTCCAGAAGTGTATTCGATTCCTGCGTTGGCAACTGGAAGTGCGCTGTTTATAGGCGGAATGTATTATGAGAAGAAAAAATCTGGAGTCTATAAGCCAACCTTTGAACACAAGTTCTTCGAGAACACAAGGGAGAAGGTTCCATCATTACGGGTATGTGGAAGCTTCCGAGTCATTTTAATAGTATACAGCAACTCGCCTTATTCAGGGATGCCTGAAGGACGTTTACATTGACGGTGAACGAGTCGATCTTTCTACCATCTTCAGTCGACAGTTGGAGCACACACTGATCGATGCCGGAGATGACAGTGCCTATTCTATACAGGTACCGAATGTTTTCTTGCCTATGTACATATAACATTCTTTCCTTCCACTGCCGAAAAATGCCGCTAGGTCGCCCTCCTTGGAGTTGTGACCATGATAAGGTATGCACAGCACGGTAAAAAGGATGCAAAAACATTAAGGTGAACGTAGCCAAACATTTCATTCACCCTAAAAATGTCACCCAAGTCGCCCAATTGGTAGCAGGAAGTTTCAGACGTATACCATGCCATGGGCTCAACTATTCGGGTGATCTCTCTTTGAGAGATCCGCTACAATCCGGACCGTACTTAGGTGTAAAGCTGTGGGCCCTTACGTCTCTCTGTTGATCATACCTGCATGGTTTGAACCCATCCTAGATATTTACTGCCAAACCTGTCTGGGGAGATAAATATGGGTTTCCACACAAATCATCTAACTCAATTCATTAGGCGCTTAAAGGACGCTCCTTGTTGGACTAGAAAAGCAAATGACAGCATAACGGACGCAGTTATTTAGTACAAGCAAAAACAAAGCTGAATGAAACCTTCGTACACAGTGAACAGCCCATCTTGGTGGCTCCGTGTAATTAGGAAATAGTTAGCGAGTGGAAATGAATCTTTTCCGCAGTACGGAATTTCTCATAACTGGCCAAGTTCCCCCGAATACTCGCTGTACGAGGGTGAAGAATGCGTTTGTGCCGATATGGCAAACCGATATATGTAACTAGAAGGGGAAGTGCATGGCAGCCTGGGAAAGCCAGTGAGCCGCATTTCTTTCTTGGTAGGCCATAAGCAGTTTGGAATTGGGAAAAACGCTTAACTTAGTTGAATCTTGAGTGGATCTAATTGGCGAGCTTCCATTCGTCGAAGCTCAAAGTGCGTTGTGTTGTTTCCATTTATCTCTTCAGATCAATTCAAAGTGAAATTTATACTCCAATGTGGGCTAGAAATCTCATTTCTTATATCTTGTCAGCTCTGAAAGCGAATAAATCATTGTAGTCGGAGGGGAGGGGAAGGGGGAAGGGAGGGGGAGGGGAGGGAGAGGGGGACGAGCTGGTAGAGGGGTTGGAGGGGTCGAAAGGGTGGGTGGACTGGCTAAGGTCATTGCAGAGCATATACAGTACCGTTCAAAAAGAAATCACCATGAACGTTTTTTGCCATAACTCATCTCGAATGCAGTATTTCTGACTGATTTTTTGATATGTTGTCAACGGTAGTGATTTTTAATGTTTCCATCACACAACTCACGGATCTCTTTTTCTGTTCCGTTCAAAAGGCCACTTTTCACATTTTTCTAAATAGGATAAAATAACATCAGTTTCAATTAGTTGAAATAAATCGCCTCACTTGAACGGTATCATCATGAGATTGAAACATAACTATCTAATAGTCTAATACATTGTAGCGAAGTCGTTGGCATCGATGACGGCTTAGCATCTGCGGGGCATTGGTTCGACCAAGTTGACGATCAGGCACTCAGCAATTTTCCTCCATTCTTCTTCAAATTGGCCAAACCTCTGAGCAGCATTTGTGTTTGTTTCGCTGGCTATCCTTTTTTCGAGTTCCTGCCACGAGGGTCCACTGATGTTTAGGTGAGGGGACTGGCTGGGTGAGTCAAGACATCGAATTTCCCGATGAGCCAACAACTCGCGCGCCCCTTCTAGACCTGTGTCCGGGGTCGTATGTATCTCACTGGAAAGGGAATATTCTTCCGTGCACAGGTGGGGGGTGGGGAGAAAGGTAGCATGGATTTCTCCAAAATGTTTACGTACATCTGCTGGGCCGTAGTGGTGAGAATATGATGCATGGACCTCATGGCTAGACTCGGAGACCATCCCCAAACCAGTATTGAGCAGGCACCATGCCTGAGTTGTCAAATGATACTTGGGGTCGGAACTTGTATTTTGAAAGGTCGTCTACGAAAGAAACCCAAGTGTACCAAGCCGAACAATCTTTGACTGGTCGCCCTAGATGACTTAGCGCCATTAGTCGAAAGACCAGTGAAGGTGCTTACGCGCTCATTGAAGTCGAGCTCGTCTAATTTTCAGAGATCCAGTTACTTTTTGACAATTCTTCCTACATATATTCCACCAACCCACAGGCGTCCGTTGATGGTACCTCTAGATGGTAGCGACGTCACCTTCGTCGATATTTCGGCCATTATATCGAAAGATGCTCGTTTGGAATCTCGAGTCGACGCACAAATGTTCTTCCTATCGTCCTCAGGAGCGGCAATCCGTAACCCTCCCGAGCTGGCTCGCTTGATTGGGCCTATGAGTGACTCAATGCCTCTGATAGCCTTCGTAATCGTAGAAATTGATACAGCAAACAGCCTTGGATGTTGAGCATGGGTCAGTTCCAGCTTATTGCACGTGGCAATGGCGGAGAGCTGCTCCACGGTCAGAAGGCGGAAACCAGAGTTCCGCATCTTTGCTGAGAGCGATCAGCTAACAGAACAAAAGAATCACCGCCATTCCTAGACACAAAAAACACAATAAAATATACCTGAAGAACATGCCCTTTCGCAAGTTTTTTGAAAAAAATTCACCTACTCGGCCGGAAGTGAGCTACCGCCAATTCGTGCTGTCAAAAAATCAGGCAAAAAGATTTAGTCTAAGTTGAGTTATGGCAGAAAAGGTTAAAGGTGTTTTCTTTTTAAACCGTACTGTACCAAGTGCATTTGTGCATTAGCAAAGGCACATATTCGGGTATGTCGCCTCTTTCTGCACTACCCGCCCACACCTGAAATGTAGGGTTGTTGAAGCAGGTTACTTTCATAAGCTTTTTGATTGCTTATTCTTTCGGTATGCGCCATGCTTGTGACTTTCTTTTCTGAGCGCAGTTTTGCCTCCAAATAAACGTTATCGACATCGAGATGATTCGCGTGTAAAATTAGAAACTCTAAATATTCACCAAGAACGCTCTATAGATACCTACCCTACTCGGGGAGGTTAGGGTCATGTAGGCCTTGTCTTGTCGAGAATCCACCTTGTTGGTATGACTGCGCTACATGAATACCGACCATATAATATTTCTCAAGAGTAGTGCATTCTTGTACTTTATTTTAAGATTTCTTTTCTCTCTTTAAGGTTGGCTGCCCTAGTTGTTCCCCGTCATGTCCGCCTGGCGTACGTTGCCGTCCCAATGAGCCGCGTCAAATCACATATGAATGCGACTGTTCAGATATTGAGGAGTTCTCACTCGGTCGATGCCGCTCCACTGATCGTAAGTCTCTCTCTTTAGGTGCAGGTGACAGGCCACTTTCAGGTGCTTATGAGTCTCCGATTTAGGGTTGCGGCCGAATCCATCAGTGCCACTGTCAACTGCATACCTCGATTCGCCGGCGCCGGTATTGCATTTAGCGTCAACAAAAGCGGCTCTGAGCAAGGTCTGTTATAGCGGCTCTGAGCAAGGTCTGGCATCCTTGAAATTACCTCTTTGATGTGTGTTTTTCAGGTATGGATGAAAGTGTCATTACCTCGGGAAGTCGACCGTAAGATGATCATTGCCGAATTCAACTCTCTTCGTGAAATGCTGTACGTTTTTGATTACATGATATCATCTTGGATAACCCATGCATCACGAATGTTTCCCTTCGAAAAAGACTTTGGATGAAATGTTCTGCGACTTTCCTTGTTCGGAGGGTCGAAAATTTTCCTTTTTCTTTTTCCACAAGTTGGTTTCCAGCCGATATTTTACTTTGCAAATGTTAGTCGTTTGCCTTTTATTCTCATAATGATGAGGGATACGAATGGAAGCCGTAGGCTATCACTGCTTCGAATTCGTAGTTGGGCTTTACCCTGTGGAACATTTACCATACCAAAAATTGTTATAAACAGTTTTTCAGTGTACCATTGATTGACCTATTTTGAGAAAGTGTTATGAGTGTAGAAATCATTGCAACAAAAGATGTACTACTCAATTCTTAGGTTCTACATCTTCGTCGATTCCGACGGTATCGGCGTCCACCTCAATCCGAGCACTCAGGATCGCTTCGAGACCATCGTCACAGGTACGCGGACCAAATCTCTGTAACTAGGCGAAATGAATGGGAATGCAAAGTTGACCAGAAGGGAATTCCATTTAACGTAACAACTTTGTAATAGGAAACCAGCTGACTCCTTCGCATTCTCCAAAGTCCTTGATATGGTGCGGCTCTGAATATTTTTTTGTGAGTGAGCCTATTGTGTGTATCTACTCATTTCAGTGCCTAGATAAGGTTGATAGAAGATCAGGGAATTTGCTCAACATTAAAGACACAATTTAGTTTACAAATGATTTCTGAGATGAAAAATGAGAATGAAAAACAGACAAGATAGGGCGTAATAAGGGTCATAACTACGGCTGAGTTCTTCTGTACATACTTCTGCGTAGTTTTGGAAAATGACTTCGACTATTTTCTTGAACTAGAAACCTCGGAATTATCGTGAACTGTACCTTCAAAGCAGCTGGTTTTTTCTAAATCTCTCTAAAATCTGCCATGACTTGACTGTGACACTCCCAAAGTTGACGGGGAACATGCCCTTCACTCTCAAAGGTACAGTTCACGATATTTCCTAAGGTTCCTCTCTAGGATGAATCTATGACCTCCAAGGATAGCACGTGAGACATTATCGGAACGAAAAACGACCTCGACAGGGCGTTGTAAGGGCTCCAAAACCTATGACGGGCTTACACACCCAAATGTGGCGGCCCTGATAAAAGGTATCATTCACAGTAAAAAATTGGGACGCTGAAGAGAAGTATGTTTATGTGGGGGTCACCTAGACGATTACAGATATATAATCGATCCACTTTTTTACTACTTTTTTGTGTGTATAAAAAACAGCTTCGGACAACTTAGGTCTCACGAGGATGTCCCTGGGCTGAAGAATAGCTTTTCTCTCGGATTTCTACACTTTGAGATACTATCTGAACACCTTTCATTTCTTCTTAACTAGTTCAGAAGGTAATGTCGTGTTTGTTTGAGTCTCTCATTTTTAGAACCGGTATCATTGGAGGATGAGCGTGTTCACTTGATTACTTTGGAGCGGAAGACACCTCTCGGCACCCGTCATGCTTCAAAGAAGTTCAATCTTTACGTGAGTTATGGAACTTCGAATTTCTTGATCTCAAACTTCCTATACATATGCTTTTCTGTGAAGCGAAAAAGTTACGAAGTTCTGTTCTTCTAGATTGACGGCGTCTACAATGAAATCCCAGACATTGCTAAGTACCCACTGAACAATATTTCAATAAAAGCTGATGAAAGCGGGGAGACCAATCCTGTAATCATTCACGGTAACTAAGTTTTCTCAAGGACTCCTTTCCTAGACTGCTGTGATTGCCATCGCTTTAGATATGGGAGTAGCATACGAGTATGACGAGCATCAGCCATTCCTTCACCATCACTCAAACCGACTGCATCAGGTAGCCCGCCTCCGTCGTTCAAGCAGTACACCTTTTAGCAAACTTCGGTTTTCAGGTGGACGTTCAGTCAATGTTGCTCCGACATCGTCTTCACGGTCCCATGGAGGATGTGGCGATTACTGATCCATTCCTCTGGAAAAAAGTCCCGTCAGCAGCAGCAAGATCGTCTCCACCCGGTGAAATAGTGCCGTATACACCGGATTCTTTCGAACCTCAACGACTACGTAAGGGAGTGAAAGGGTTGCTCAATCTCAAAAACAAACTGAAATCCGGGTTGCAGTGTCGGCAAGCTGGCTGATCTACTCGCTGATACTGACCACAGCGTTGTGTCTCCTGCTCACTATCTGCCTCGTGTTGTACTGCTGTGTCTTACGAAGGCAAAGAAGGAGAGGAAGTCAGGGTGGGTAATCTCCCACATACCAATTGTGTTGTCACCGAATATATTAAACTGTTTCAGCATCTGACCGAGACCGTATTCTTAGGGATAGTCCTGACTACTCAGTAAAACTGAGGTCGAACAGGACCGGTAGGTGGACTTCCTTCAGTGATTTTCAGTTCCAGTGTGAGCTCTCCTATTCAGATTCCGTTTCCTCATATGACGGTGACGGCTCAATAGGCACAGACGACACCGATTTGAATGCTTATCGTGACATTCCCAGCCACCGTGTGAAGGTGTACAGGGAGTCGGTAAGTTCCTGCCAAAACAGTAGTGCAAGAATATGTATGCATTTGTCGGTGCGAATATTCAAAGGAAAACTTTTCAGATGGTGTCCATACTAGTGCCCGGCGTAGACCAGCCCAGCGAGGCGATCGTGAAGCGAATATCAAGTGTGGAAAAAGTGAGCACGCCGCCGCTACTTGCTCCCAGTCCTGCTCCTTTGGTCAACATGAACGAGCATTGACGATTGACGCTCGCACTGGAAGCGAGGGATTTGATCTGATTGGCTGGTCCAAGCAGGTCGAGACCTGCCCGTATCCGCCCACACACTCCTCTTACGGCTTTAGCTATGCGTTTGCTTTCAGAGGGAGCAGCCTCGCTGTAAAATAATTTCACTTCGAAGGCAGTGTTCATGAGCTTATTTAAGCGAGGGGAAACACTAGGAGCTCAGAAGTCACTAGGAGGGGGGCTAGTAATGTATCGGATGTCGACTAGAGAGACCACTGTAGGGGATTTGATTGAAAACAATAAAGCTTTTTAGCTGCGAAGTCCTCTGCCTGAGTTACTCTCAAAATCATGAACACTGCTTTCATGTATTAGGGGCTGGTCCCATACAACCTCATCCCCGTTGCACTTTGATCTCACGGGTTCTATATGTGCTCCTTATTTTAATGAATGTTTTTTTTTTATTTTTTTGAACTTTCAAAAATCTTTCGTTGATTACATCACTTTGCATTTCATCCTACAAATTCTAGCACTACCTTGGGCAGTATCAGTCCTGAGAGTGATAATAGTTCTCTTGGGAAGATGCTGTTGGGTATGAATGTGGAACATTAGCTGGGTTACCCTACTACTTGGCTGTTTCGACGGTTGAATACAAAAAATCGCTAATGGGTGAAGGAGTATGAAAGTTGAAGGACGGAGCGTCTTGGTGTTCATCATTTCCGCTTTGGGATCAGCTTCATTTGAAATCGTAATTACAGTTTGAATGCGCTTAGGGCCTGTGCAATGAATTGTGTAGGCCAGCTGTTTTTCAGGCCACTGCTTCTAACCTTCCAGAGGAGTTTGATGCCAGTTAGCCGAACTTGGAGGGACTCTGTTCGCCTGGGCTGGCATCGATGCTCGGACCGCGTGTGTGATAATGCGCCACTGACCACTCCACCACCTGCGCCCTTCCAAGTTCTTATAGCAGATGAAACTTTCAACGTTGATACAGAAGGCTGTGAACTCATTCCTCGGCGATAAGACTGTGATTCGTGTCGGTTGTTATTACTGAGTGAGAATTTCATACCATTCGATCGGAGGGTCTATAATACCACCATGATGTTGAGTTTCGAATAGGGACATAGTCAGTGATTAGAACGTTGATTGAAGCATTACATCTAAGGCTTTCTGAAATTAAAGCTGAAACCCCATAAAATCAGGAATAACAAAAACGTTCACGAATAACTGGATGAACCACTAATGTTGTGGTAAGCCTGTTGCGGTGAAATTTATTCGAAATCGGCTGCCATGTAACCATAGAAGTAATTTAATTGCCGATGGAACTGAAAAAAGAATTAGCCGAAAAATACCTAGTATCATGAAGCCTGTCCCGTCAAAATTGATACGGAGTATTGAATGACAGACAAATACTCATGATCGCTGAGCAAGGAACTCAATAGATACTGAATAGCTTGCCAAGCTGCACAACTACTAAGACAGTAAAGGAAAGATATTACAATAGGCAAAAAGAAACCTAAAAACCTAAAACCACCAGAATCCCGTATCGTTGGCCAGTAGCATCGACAATGCTTCATCACAATTTTAACACAGAGGGAACTTCGGTTCACATGTACCAATCTCCTTGGTCTGTCTTTTTGAGCTTCGGAGGCGGTTTACGGTGCAGCTCACAAATGCCATTGACACATTCGCCGATGAAACAAATCTCTGTGCCTTCGAAGCCTGTGCACTTCCCTCCGAGACGGATTTTTCCCATGCATTGCGCTTCACCGTTTTTCGGAACGTGGCAGAATAGATATCTGGAAATCCTTGTTTCAAAGGAGAAGTTTTGGCTATTACTGGACGTCTAAATGTTGTAGTAAAGATTATGACCACGAATGTAACTGCCAGTGTCCAGTCAATGCAGTAGCGGGTTTAGCCGGTTGTCTGACTGCTTCTTCCGCAACTTTTTACTGATTGCCTTAGACCGGTTCAGCGAGATTTTGTGCCTTGAATTTAGGAGAGCTCACTTCGATTTACAATTCGGAAGAGCACGCGTACATGTAGGTCGTGGAGCGAACTCATACATTTCGTCCGTGTACCCATTCGATAGCGCATCGCGGTTGGTCAGTGGCTGCAGGCATGCTTCCTATGTAAAGTTGGCTAACAACGGAAACCAAAAAAACTCACATGAAGCATTGGCATGATGCTGTCAGCATTGTGCCATGGCGGAAAGCATTTCTCATCACTGGCGGGATAGTCTCTTTCGCGTTCAGTTCGACTCTGAAGTGGATATTCCGTAAGAGAGCTTCGGCAGATCCTAAGAGTTACTGAAACTTAAGAGGGAATGTTTTAAGGCTTAGTTCCTTTGCAATGTCGAAGTCACTGTTTGAACGCTAACATAATGTGGATTTGAAAACTGTTCCTCAGTAAACTAGTTAATCCTCTGACGAGGACGCGTACTTCGTGGTGCGCCCATAGGACAACGTCCCCTCCCTTTTGCGCGCGACTGCCCTCCATCGGTATCTACCATTGTCCCAAGAAAAATCCTATCATTGACTAACTGAATTTAGCAATAGTTCCCGTATAATAGCAGGATAAACTCTTGTTTCATCCATCATTGTAAATGAGGCTTAAATGAAGATCAGGCTGGAAGCAATGTAGTAAAAAACTTTTGAAATAATGTACGCGGTATGAATTCGTAAAACATTCAAAGCTTTTGAGGATCAATTTATACTTTGCGACTGCCTTGCTGAGACCGATGCGATCATGAGTGTAAATCATTATTTATACTGTTTGCAATTCTTCCAAGACGTACACCAATCTTACGAACATACGCAGGTCTCTCAGAAATACTCCACTGATATATGTTCAAGCCTGTGTCTGTCTCAAGCACATCAAAAGATTGCTGTGCAGAACAGTCACCGCAACGCTGACCTGACAGATTACGAACAACGAGGATCATTGCAACCAATTGCATTTTCATTCAAAATCACTAATACGCTTGAATGGAGCTGTACAATAAATAAGCCATCGACAAGCCGATTCCAAACCAGTCTTTATATTTTTTCACCCTTCACTCTCAGCCTTCGCCCCTTACCTACTATGTAAGGGATAGAATTGATCTAAATCGAGCAATACGGAACCATCAACAGCGTTAGGAGAATGAGCGTGAAAGAAATTTCACGAAAAAGCTCGGTCTGAATCGTTCAACTCAGGGAGCCCTCGTTTGCTCGTTTGGCTGATGTGCAGCACGAAGAAGTTTGAAATGTACTGAAATGGCCCGTTCATCTGTCACGGTTTGGAGCGGAATCTCATGCCTACCCGTCCACGAAAAATGTTTCACATGAGGAGGAAACATTCTACATGAATAGAGCCTGGAATCTTAGCCTTCGGTATTCATCATTTCCGTCAAGGGTATAAGCATCCGATTATCGTCCAAAATTGTAGAGGCGTTTTGAGTGCGTGTAAGGCCTATCCAGTGACTTGCGGTGACCAGCCAATGTACAAATTGCTTTCTCCTCTTAGACGGGTCTGGTATCAATTATCTCCCGAAAAGATGGAAAGCTGCATTTGCTTGGGTGAGAATCGATCCTAGAAACTGATTTGTGTGATAATACGCTACTCTCCAATGGATCACCTTCGAAATAATCGGATTGAGCAAAAAGCCACAAACCGCTCATTGGTTGAAGCAGGCGAAAGCATTGGGTTGATCGAAAAGTTTTCTTTTGACTTCTCATCCCTTGCTAGAGTCTCTCGGAAGGCTCTCTGATGAGTTTCGTAATTGCTTATGGTAGACCGCTCCCGAACCTGTACTTTAGTGAGATTTGTATGCAAGGACGTCTTTGTAAGTGTTTCGCAATTATGACTTCAACCTTCACTTGTTGACTGAAGCTGTCTGAGAGCTATCATCTATTACGAATTTCTGTAAGGGCATAATCCATCGACGCTGCCGCACATCTCTTTGGTGCAGTCAAGAGAGACACCGTATCTAACCCAACCCACGGGTGCCTCGTGACGAACCACCTCCGAGACAGCAGAGAATGTTAATCGACAGAAGCGCGAGACAATGTTTGCCTTCTTCACGACAGCGCTCGATGGCATGTTGCGAAACTGTCTCGTCAGAAAGTTGATGAACTTGGATAGGAAGTGCTGCCCCGTCCTTCTTATTCGCCAAACCTTGTTCCCTCCGACTACCATCCATTTCTTGCTTTGAAATATCATCTTCGTGATAGAAATTTGTTGGCCGTTTGGAACTCGAAATTGAGATTCAGGTTTTTTCGAATCGCAGCCGTTGCAGTTCCGGGCTTCAGTAATCGAGAAACTCCCGAATTGTTGGACATGCGTTGTGAATTACAATGGAGACCTTATTGATTGAAATTGTGGTGATTGAGTCTTTTTCGATGAATATAATGAAATAAAGACAAAAAACCGACAAAAACTTAATTTTTATGGAGCAAGCGCTATGTTCACCCCGTCTGAGAGCATTCGCTGACTACAGAATTGTTTGCACATGTTGGGTCACTTATATAATCCCTGTTGATGGCGTATTCACTCTGTGTAGTCCAGTTCTCGACCAGGAGTCTAATCAATCAGAATGGTGTAGTATAAACCCTACGGTTCCCTGCATATCCTTCATCACCTCCACGGTATCCAATGAATATTGCACTGCTGTTTGCTTCACAGACACAACAGTACACGACCATAAGTAGTAAACTTCGGCTGCATTCACTACCGCGATACCTGCATTTTCTGCCTCCATTGTTCGTAAATTAAGTCGACCATTGAGTGATGGTACAGGAAGACGACGTCATTAGACGAGGAGTGTGACTTTCCCATATCACCGCCTGATTTTAAAAAAAGTGATAAATGAATGTGGATACTTTAACAGTGCACATACCAATAAAGAAGTGCACGTAATCATGAGAATACTCGAGCATCCGCGAGTCCAACGACAAGTTGAGGGAACAACTCTGAAAAGCACAACTTGTTGCTTCTACCTAAATCAACACTCGCCATATAAAATCCCAAATCCGTGGAAAAANNNNAAAAATGTAACCCGCTTACTGTGGCCATACCATGGAGCTAAACTTTTCGAACTCTGTAAGGTTGTACAATCTGCTCGATAAGATCTGCTGAAGCACTACATACTACAGAATACCCTGGTTTTGGGTCATGTCCTCTATTTTGAAGGAGCTTCCTATCTAATTTCTAGAAGATAGCGATGGAGTAGAAAGAGAAGCCCAGGTTACTGCTAGGGTTCTGCAGGGATTTCGTGGTCGAATTGGTCACATGTCGGGGTTCCGTCTTCTGTGGGGACCTCAATATCGGTGCTCTGTCACACAGAACCAATGCTATCATAGGTCACCTGCGATATATTTTGTTTCCCAGACTTCGCTGGCCGATCTTGCTAGAGCTGGACAGCAGCGTGCAATTTGCAGATCGACGCACAATATATGTAGGTAAAAAGGAATGGAGTTCCTATTTCAGACCCATTGGCTTATGCTTTGAAGTCACTGTTAGTGCCGGTGAATCGTACCCTGCCGTCCAAGCCTTGGGAGCTCGACCTATAAATAAGATTAGGCTAAAAAGAAGCAGAACCATGCTTTGACCGAAGGTGATCTATCTGTGTATCGCTGAATACCATTTATTCTGGGGAATCGATCATCATACATCGCAGCTGTGTGATTCGGTTCCGTTAGGAAGTAAAGGTGGTCGATTCGTCACATTTTAAGGTCGGCCACGTGGTGATGTTGAAGGCCATACAGTATAGGAAAAATCACGTTGCAATCACGTCCACCAAGAACTTCCTGCAGTGTCCAGACCTCCCATGTAGCCTGGGATCCTTTATTGATTCCATCGTGACCTTCTAAACTATGGACGAGGTACTCCTCCAATATAAAAGGTTCGATTGAAACTACTCTAAAGTTAAGCAGCGTTTCGAAATCTTAGAAGTAAAGCATTTAGAGCTTGACAAGCTGAGTACAGTAATATACTCGCCTTTTAATAAACCTAACTATGAACTGAATTGTACCAATAAGTTTTTTTGTAACTCGGTGTACGCCTTTGTGAATTGAACATGGATTTGAGATCTTTTCGGCAGCTTCTTATCAGCTGCATGTTCGACTGAGTAAAGTTAGATGAGTAAAGCATAACCGTGAGCGGCATTGTTGTTCCGAGCACCATATTAATGTCGGGATTGTTTACAATCCAATCAACACGGGCGTTATTCAATAGTTCACCACTCTCATTTTCCCCGACTTCGCGGTAAATACTCGCACGTCCCTGAAATAGAATACATATAAATCGATGTTCCAGATGAAGTCCTTTGTTATCGTCCAACCTCCATGGTAGTCCAGTTAGCGTACGGCCCTGTGACAACGAAACCATCCTCGTTGGAAGTGCCCAAAAAGATGTCGGAAAGAATCATAGAATCTTTTGGTTCGGGCAGCTCAGCGTCGAGAGTGCTGTCCCAATAAGGGACTCCCATATTGGGATCAGGAAGATAATGGCGAATCACAAGTTCAAACCTTAAATTAATACATTTGGCCAGGAAAAGTTATACAAAGGCTATTTAATGTTTGAAACTTCAGGCGTGGTCATTTACAAACCTCTTCAAATATTCTCGGTGCCAAAGCGTGAACGCAGGTCCTGAATGAACTCCCGAGTACTTGTGCACCCGGGCTATTCTGTTGTACAGACCACTCACCTTCATCCAGTTTAGGGCATCCTTTAAATCAGTATTTTGAAACCTTGCAATTGCCTCCTTTTAGTCCCTGCTTGAGTGAGCTCACCTCAAATTGTTTCCTTTTATTGTCGTCTAAAGTACGAATTTCCTGGCGATGCGCCTTCTCTAAAATTTTCCCACCAGGAAGGAGACAGCCGTTTTTGTGGACGCTTCCTGAAACTGTTTCAGCATTCTTTATTTCCACACGGTAGCACTACAAATTGCTCACCGTTGAAGTATGGGCAGACACATCTCCTATCTAAACACGGTAGATATTTTTCCTCGTGTGGAGTCCAGTCAGGGGATACGAAGACATCGTCCTCTGGGACATAATGCTTACCGAAGGAAGACTCCTTCACGTCCCCTTCTTCGATCTGACAAGTGAAGGATTCCAGGCGGATATACAAGATGCGATGAATAATACGATAATGTTTTGAACGCTGATCACAAACCTCCATTTTACGAACTGCAAAACGGATCGCGAAAATACTCGAGATATCCTTCCCCTTCCCCCCCCCCCCCCCCCCCCCCCCCCCCCCCCCCCCCCCNCATAAAAAACGGCAGGCTACTGTCTACCGTCGTGTAGCGACAGCACTCTTGAAGTATTGGAAGACTCATAGGACTGTAATGCCTTTTACCGCCTTCCCTCGCTCACAGTAATGAGCCTGGAACGGTTTATCACAAGAAGTTCTGTACCGCCCTTCTCTGATACTGAGAAGGACTCACTCTCAATTCACTGTGAGCAAAGAAGAAAATTTTGCTCAGAATGGATTCGCTCAAGGCGAAGAATATCATCCTTCGAATGTGCCCGGTTAACGTCGTAGAAGCGGAATTTTTTGAATCATGTGTGAGCACACCACTTCTGAACAGGATACGCCATCGGTAGATCATTGCAAAGCACTCTGTTCCAGCGACTGGTTTTGCTCCTTTCTAGCGGGAGTAACGAAAAATATCAGAGCGCATAATATGTACAGTGCGAAATACCATTTACGACAATCACTTCGTTGAGGCCGTAGACACTGATCTTTTGTGGTCTTCTTATCATGATATCGGCTCCAACACATTTTGAGAAAGACCACATTTTTCGGGACATTGAGTAGTGATTTTAGGAAGGGGGATTCCAAACTTTACATTCATCAAACAGCATCACTTCTGCAGCAGATTGCCTTCTATCCTTTGAAAACCAAGCAAACCAAGAAACACTTCTATGTATTCGTGTTATATGTGAAGTGATGAAGTGCCCACCAACAGTTGAGTGGGTGTTTCTCCAATGAAGTCACCAATTCAATAGTACGAGCACCATTGGGCCTCGAAAAACAGTACCGAATATTTCTTAAGAAGAGCTCCTATAGCAGGAGTCACATAAATTTTCTTTACTGAAAATCCTGAAATCAATCCAAGACTTCGTAGTTTCGCATTGAACCTCGAAGTCTTGGATTAACTTCTTTTAGACTAGTTCCGATTTGTGCGCACATTACGATGGAATTCTCGAAGCTAGAAGTTGGCTTTTGCGAAATGTTTACCTTCTATAGAATTTGTCAAACAAAACAGCTTTTCTAAAGCACCTTCCTTTCAACTATAGCTCCAGAGAGATTAGATCATTCAAAGCATGGTTGGTCATGGTTGGAACTTATACTTCGCTTGATAGGCTTTTTACAAATAAGGAAGAAGCGAGAAGAGCACTTCTCTAGCTTAATCACATGATCGATTATCACAAGTATTATACATTTCCTACTCGGACTGAATGACGAATAATGAAGGCAGCTACCTTGTTATGGATACGGTGTGCCACTCGGAACCATGGCTGCTCGAAGCGTTCAACATATTTCTTATTGCCGATCATGTAATGGATTTCGCTGATAAAGTTCATTGAAGTCGAAATGATGGAAAGCAACCATATCAGCTCTCTCAACAGCGAATTCATATAGACTGCAAGGTAAATATGATTCAGCAGAAGGCACATCTGAACCAACTATACGATCTTATATGAGATTACCTGATTCAGGTAGGTGTTGGCGGAGGAGAAGCACGAAATTGATTCGAAGAAGTGTGGTCGAGTAGGAGTCGTCTGAAACAGAACTGGTCCAGTCTACTTGCAGTGGCGAGTCAACTAAGAAAAAACCTATTATATAACATTGTACTGTTTTTTTTTTCAATGCCATCATTCCGTAGCATTCTTTGCTGTCAATTGAATCGGCAGAGGGTTTGTTCTGAGGAATTTCTTAAGTTGTCGTTGTGAAGATGATACAAACAAGTCATCTTGATCATAGGCTGAAAGATAAAATAAAATTTACATTTCAATGCGATCTGTTGGAATGCATACAAACGACTCTGGTGAAAATACCCGACCTGAAGCAAGGTTGATCCAGCGGTCCAAGTGGGGCATTTCACACACTCATGATCACGGGTTCGGACCCTGTAACAATATCCATCTAGGCAAGCCAAGCCTTCCTTCCCTCCGGGGTCAGCTATTTGGAACCACACTCGTCTGGGAGGATGAAAGCACTGACTTGTACATCAGCTGGCCACCGCAAGTCATTGTATAGGCCACATACACACTCATTACGCCACTACGATTCTGAATGGAAGTCGAGAGCGGGGTGCATCCCTTAGACAGGATTGATTGGCGCCAAAAACTTTATCCTTTATCATGTTAGACTTTACCTTAATATTGGCGAGACCTTTGACTAGTGAGTGTGCTGAATTCAATCTCCCCAAACTTGCCTAACTTCATTGCTCACGTTTCTATCTCTCCGCCTTTTTCATAGCGCGGGGTATACCATCGCCATACTAAAACAGACCATCCACACTTTGCCTCGCTGTCTAGGTGCCCACACTATAACAAACTTCCTGTTTACAATTAGTTTGCACGAAACTTTCGAGCTACCGAAGGAATCACGACCCATACCATCAACCGAGCAAAACTTCTCAAAAAGGCGGTACTTTTGAAGCGTGATTACTTGTATTCATGTTTGGAAGAATGTATCGTTAAAGAGAAGCGTTGTGATCAAATAGCACCAGACCGCCTTTGACGGGAATAGCGGGTGTGTAGGGAAACTTTCGGAATGGATCCGATGTAAGATGTAAAGTAAAAACCTGGGTTAAAGACAAGCTTGATAGACGGTAAATCAACAACGAGGCCGGCAAGGAACGATCAAGGTGAACCAGCAGACTTCAGTAAAGCAGATCGCATGGTCAACACTCGGCCCACGGTTTCAAGCGACATTACCCTTTACAAAAAAGCGTTCTTTTTGGAGCTAGGGCCTAGCGTTGTACCAGTCCAATCCATTACCCCTAGAGTCGCGCGTTAGTTGTAGAGTTGCAACCATACCACGGAAAGAGGGCGCTAGAGATCAAGTAATCTGACTTTTATATGCGGATTTTACACGCATACTTCGATACAGAAATCCGCCCGCCTTCTCACGACATCTGTCAACAGAGCTGCACGACAGTATTTTGATAGAAATGCTGCTTTCAACCTACCTCCTTCCCGAGGGCAAGACAAAAGAATCACAGATTCGAGTATAGGCTGGGGGATACGCATGCCCTGTCGTTAGTGATGTAGGAAGTGAACTCCTAGTCATCCTACAAGTGCTTGTTAAAGCTATGACACAGGTAATCTTCACGACGCAACATGATATTGTAGGTCTACGGAAACGAGTACAGTAAACAGCATAGAAAATCGAATAAGGTCTGCCATCGCGTACGAAAGTGGCTGGTCTCCATACCCTCACGATCAATCACCTAAAGGGTGACCTACCGCTGTGTCCTGTTGTATATCCCGTCACGGAGACCCATAAGCTCCGCTAGGCCCACCATTGTTTAATGTTAGACCCATTACCAGCAATGTCCTGGCAAAGGTTGATGAAATTTCCTGGTTTTCCAATGAAATTGTGCAACGAGGCCCAGTACATCTCCGCCTATCTGAATAACACGAATATGCTTCTCGAAAAACTGTTGACTTCAAGAAAACCCATCAGGATCTTCATGAAGATGTTGTAGTGGAATCATTCGACGTTACGCCTTTGTAGATGATGCGTCGTAGAGGCCGCCCTGGAACCTATAACTCACAACGAATTTCATAGTGGTCACAAACACTCTCACTTTGTACGTTTTGTCAACCTCTCAGATGATGACCGTTCTAAGAGTATGCGGGAACTGCTCGTTATTCATGTGGTCGGTCGATTACTACAGACAGAAGAGGGGTATGGCTTTTGGCCAACAGCTCAGCAACTGCTGCTAATAGCACAAATGAGAATCCCAATCTAGGGGTCTCCCCCTTGCAAAATTCACGTGCGAGCATCTATCGACAAAGTAGCATTTTGTTTCTCTTCGATTCCGAGTAAATGAACAGATCGTTTGACTAAATGGGACTACAAGAAGAAGTAAGGCTGTAAAAATACCCCTCACGTGGCCTTAGCCGACAACTGCTCTACAATTGCCTTTACGATACCCTTTGCTACACCTGATGTTGCAATGGGTGTCCTTCCAATCGAAGAAGTGACAGCGTGAAAGAAGAAGTCATCTGTCAAATCAGATGCCAGGCCTGCAATACCAGTATAGCGATGAAGCGGGGCACCCCTTTTGTTCGCTAATGAAAGAACATTTTGAGGGACTGAAAAAATCTCGCAATCAAAACTCCAGGAATGCATCGGATTCTGTGCCATGGCAATGTGACTTAACGATTTCAGAATCCATCCTGGCACTACAAACGGAGTCCACTGCTCGAAAAATACTTGAAGCGTGTTGTCGCAAGGGATGCACAAATTATTAGGACCTCGTCCGAAGTAGCTACGTGCATTATATAAATAAATTTACCTCACAGATGCTTTCGTTGGCAGGTAAACTCAGGAGCATTGAGGAATTGGAATAATAATGAGATCGTCAAGGGATTCAGTAGGGAGTCACTGAATGGGCTCATCTAATGAGCGCGTGTATGTCTGTGTGTGTGCCTGAATATGTCTGCATGTGTTGTCTGTGTGTCTCTGTATCTGTGTGTCTATGTGCGTAAATGTGGGTAAGGTATGCGTCTGGGCATATATGTATATCTCTGTATATAAGTGTGTACGCGTGTCTACGTGTCTGTGTGCATGTATTCTTGTGTGTGTGTCTGTTTCGTCGCTACGACAAATTTGACTTTCTCGACACTCTCATTTTGTGATGTGATATTCATGACGAGTTTCATTTGTTCAAAATTTGCGGTTTCTTAGATTTTTTGTTTTGCAATGTACTGCTATTTCCTGTACTTTGGAACGTTCTGCTAATTCCTGAAGTTCTATCACTTCGCCGTCTACTGTTGAACATTCATTCGTCATAAATTTTTTCCAAAATTATGCGCACTTCTTGATTGTCTTCCACCAAGGCTCTTTGTTTCAAACCAGCTGCTATCACTGATCGCTTTCTGGGTCATCATTGAGCATGGTATCGAATAGCTCATTACTACACTCGATCGCGCTCGTGGCCATTACCGCTAATCCGCGAGCACTATTACTATTGTCAGGTCCGGAAGATTCTGAGAAAATCCAATTGGTTTTTTCCCAGTCTGTTTTTTCAACACAAAATAACTACAAAAATAGAGTTCAATCAGCGATCAAATTAGTGGCCTTTCATAACCACAACATCTCTCCCTTGACCGGAAAGAGAACTGATATAGTGATCTTAAAGGTC